AAAAAATAGAAGACTTACTATTATGCAGACTACTGCAATACTGTAATAATTGTATAAATAACATCGACCCATCATGACTGCATATTAGAATGGCTAGTTGGACATTTATTGGACAATGGCATCATTTGTTTACTTTTGAACATTGGCAAAAATCAAACATTTTCCCTTCTTTGAGCTCCATTTCGAGGTTCTTTTTATAGTAAAATCAATCAAAATCACTTCTATTTCTAATATGTTTTCCATTCTATCAAATGAGACCAGAAAACGAAATACAACCATAAATACTATACGAAAATAGACAACAAAGTCGGCATTTTAATTAAAAAAAATGGTCAGAGTTTTTTTTTTTCTCATTATGCACTGTGTGCTCCAGGATTTTTTTTATATGGTGCACACTGACCACACAGACCCATTCTCTCACATGTGGGCCTACCAGCTTTCTCCTGCTTGATTTGAAGCTGCTAGAATTTATGAGTAGATATACGTCAAACACTGTACCTCGTAAGACGTATATATACGGCCGCGGCAGTCAAAGGGTTCATCTAAGTATTGAGTATTTAACCCTTTCAGGGCCCAGAGGCCAAATTTCTAAGTGTGCACCAGGGTCCAAGAATTTTCAAAAAAAAATTTATTTTTTTTATGAAATGGTAGAGAATCTTTTTTTGAAGGTAATAAAACAAAAAGTACGAAATTTTATGGAAAATTGACGAAATTATGCTCTTGCGAATTTTGATGTGTAAGCGATATTTACACATCGGCGATTTTGCCAACTTTGACTCCCATTTTAGGCCAGTTACCTTATTCCAGTCAACCAAATTCTTAGCTATTTCACTAGCATTACCTCTATTCTATTACTTGAGCACAAGAAATTGCCAAGTCAACTGTTTCAACTACAAAATAAAGTGATTGGAAAATGGTAATTTGGCCAATTTAATGCAAAGTTCAAAATATTCCAATTTCAAAATAGGGTCCAGAATAAACAATACAGGCATTCTGGCACTAAACTAACATTTCCTTGTTCATTAGTTATATTTTGAGGCTTTACAAATGGATTCCATTTTGATTTTTTATTCACATATTGAATTTTTATTCAAGCCAAAATATAGAAGATTTACTCTTATGCCATAGTGTAATAATTATATTATAATATCACCACATTTATGAACGTATATTAGACCCACTAGTTGGTGTGTATTAGATGTTGAGGTCATTTGTTTACTCTTGAACATCGGCAAAATTTAACATTTCTCTACTTTGAGCTTAGTTTCAAGCCATTTCCAGTACGAAAACCAATCAAAATCATCTCTATTTCTGTAATATATCTTTCATTCTATCAAATGAGACCAAGAAATCGCAAATACAACTATAAAAAACATACGATAAAACACTGCAAAGCCGCTGTTTTAATTGATAATTACAGTCTCAGTTTTTTCTCATTATGCACTGTGTGCTGCAGGATTTGTTTTATTGGTGCACACATGCCACATAGATGTATTCTCTCATGTCTAGGCCAAAATTTACCACTCACAGCTTATCAGATGAGCTGAACTCATGGCGTAGATCTACAGTTTGGACCTCAACTCAAAGTCGTAGATCTACGGCACAGACCCTGAAGGATTAATGTTTAGTTTGGGGTGAGAAGATGGTTTTTGGGACGAGTCTTAAATTGATGTTCAGATCGAGTTACTTCAGTACTTACTGGTAATGAATTCCAAATTTTGGGGCCCTTTATGTGCATAGTGTGTTATGGACACAGGATACGTCAAAAAGTGATCTGTGTCTTGTGTTATGGTCGTGTGTCCTGTTAAGGTTGGTGAGAAGTTTGAGTGAAGGGTTTATGTTTGAATGTAGTGTTTTATGTATGTAGTAGGTGTAAGAATAAGTATGGATGTTTTTTACGGTGAGTAGTTTTAGACTTCTGAATGTTGGAGTTTGCTGTTGGGAGTGGGAATTTGTTATAATTCTGACTGCAGCCTTTTGCTGGGTTATTAGTGGTCTTAGGTGATTTAATGTTGTTGATCCCCATGCACAAATTCCATAGGTGAGATAAGGGTAGATGAGTGAGTGATACAGTGCAAGGAGAGCTGATTCTGGAACATAGTACCGTAACTTTGATAGTATGCCTACTGTCTTAGAGATTTTCTTGGAAATTTGGTTGTATATAGGTCTGGAATTTGAGGCTACTGTCAAAGTGGATTCCTTGGAATTTTCCCTCTGTATAGGCAAAAGAGATACAACATGGAAAGGTAACTTGAGTACAGAACCAGGAAGACTTTAAAAAGGAGAGATACAGCTATCAATGTTAAGAAATTATTGCAAGACTGTACCCTCTTTCCAACTCTGACTTCTTTCAACAAACTGCCCATATCCACAAAGGCAGGGAAGCCCAAAGAGAAAAATGAAAAGGTCACTAGCCTCCAACTTTGACATAAGTGAAAAAGAAATCGAGATTCAGATGAATGCAACATAGGCTACTGAAATTATCTAGAGTACTGGAGAAATGCTTATTATACAGCATTAGTAAATGAGATACGTACAATAAATAATTAGGAAGCAGTAGATACGGGTCACAAAATAAGGGAAGAGAAATCACTGCAATGCTAGAGAGGATGGCAGAACAGAAGTACAAGTTGTTGACACAAAAAAATTACATTATTATATTAATTAAGGCTATAAGAAACCATTTCATAAAAGCAATTAAAAAAATGATAAAACTGATGAGAACTAGTACATATAACCCTTACTTTTTCCATTACTGGACCGCAGTTGATCATCACGTACTGCTCTTGTAATTATATTTGTTAATGTTGAAAGTACTTCCACTTGGGTGGCAATAATTTCCTCTCTCACATTTTCACTGTTGGCTGCACATCAGTTAGCAATGTTGTCAGAAGAAAACTGAAACGTTCAGCAACTGGCATACCTGAATAAAAAAAATGATTGTTTTATAACCAGTGCTCAGACTTAATAAAATCTTGCACATCAACCCAAAAATTATTCACCATTCAACAGAATACTATACCCTCAATAAATGTTGGTCCCAGTTTTGATTCAGCAGATGCCTGCCTTGCTCAATACACAGTTAAATGCCCTAATCTTTAGGACACTTGTGACCTGACATTACCTTATCCTTATTCTCACCTTTTCTCTTTACCTTTTTTTTTTTTTTTTTTTTACATTTCTGTCTTCTGCATTTCTTCTTACTTGCATCTTATTTCTTTCCTAGCATGAGCAATTAGGCCTACTGCATTCTTTACTTTTCTTTTTTCTTTCCTTGTGAGCCTTCTGAGAATGTGTTGGAAAGTGGGTTTCCTGCTTGTCCATCCACTTAAGGTGCAATTTATCCTCATTACTATTACAAATTACTACCACTATTACTAACTGCAAAATACTACAGTGGACCCTCGACCAACGATATTAATCCGTTCATGAGAGCTCATCGTTAGTCTAAATTATCGTTAGTCGAGTTAATTTTCCCCATAAAAAATAATGGAAATCAAATTAATCCGTTCCTGACACCCCAAAGTATTGAAAAAAAAAAATTACCACATGAAATATTAATTTTAATACACACAAACTGAAGAAGAGATGTACAATTACATGACACTTACCTTTATTGAAGATCTGGTGATGACTGATGGGATGGGAGGAGGGGGAGAGTGTGATGGTGTTAGTGTTTACAAGGGGAATCCTCCTTCCATTAGGACTTGAGGTGTCAAGTCTTGAGGACATTGTTTTTCCTGAACACGCTGGGAGTTTCAGAGTGATACACCAATAAAGGCTTCACTTTGCAATCACCACTAGCATTAGCACACATCAACAGAGTAAGTCTGTCTTTCATAGGCTTATGTCCTGGGAGTGCCTTTTCCTCCTGAGTAATGTAGGTCCTGCTTGGCATTTTCTTCCA